TTAGTGGCATTGACAGTACAGTAGATTGATTGGGAAATCTCATTCAACGTTTTAAGAGATCGTTTGTATACAAGCAAACATTTGCGTTTCTTGTGGTTAATGCAAGAAAATTGAGATCTATTACACTGCGCTGAATACTGAAAAACTAAGAAATTTATAATGAAAACAATGGATTAGTCCTTGGTTTTTATGGAGCAATGTTCAAAAATTTACTCATGACAGTGCAGTAATGAGTAATGTTCAATGTCTGACTTGAGAGCCTCACCAAAGTTCCTGACTTCCTGCTCCTATTTACTATAGAAAAATACATTATATCAAACATACATTATTTAGTTGCAAAGGAATGAAAACCAGTTCAACTCACCATTGGTTATGGTGCTCGAACAATTCAAAGTTGTGTTAGGTATATCATGAAGGCAACCCCACAATAGTATTAGAGTACACTGCACACCCACACATTAGCCAATCAGGATGTCAACTGCAAGGTTACTGACTTGCTTAGTTGTCTCATTACTCTCATACTTGGTGTTGGTGAGCCGAAGGGCAGTATTCACACATCACGTTCACATCATATTTGCTTCTCAAGCAATACAATGGTCGAGTCACTCGAGTGGCTCAAGGAACATGAACATTGCTCCTGGTTCAGTAGCTACTGTTTGATCGCACGCCTGGCTTCCTTATTTTCTTGGCTTTGAACGTTGCACGGATTTAACTTTTCTGATTGCGCTGTGGAATTCGAGTTGAATTCATTATCAATTTGTGCATCCTGCGGAATTAGTGCCAATTTTTCGCAGCCTAGGCCCTCTGCAGAATTCATTAGTAACAGGCGTACTAATCCATCTGATGTCACGTTTTTTCCACTTAGGGGCAAAAGCTACCCATGAATCTGATTGAATCAGACAAAAATGCCTGTAAATTTTGCCTATTTGAAGCATTCCTATGGCCTTTACCGTATGTCTTCAATGTTTTTCAATTTCTTTAATGAACAAAAATAAAAACTGCCTACTTTCACCTACAATTTTTAAAAATCACTATGAAAGAATTGGTTTTAAATAAGATTTTAGGAAACATCTGCTTGATTTTTGATATTCCAAATTGGTGTCAGTTAAGAGAAAAGTCACCAACAAACATGAAGTTACTGCATGAAAGGGCCAGTTTTTTAGACCAGTGAACTAGTCATGAAAAGTACAAGAATAGCTGACAGGCCTATTCTCTAAAACCAAAGATACTATACTATAACTATACATATTTGATTGCCAATACAACATTATTAGGAATTTTGCAACCTAATTTAAGCTGATAGGATCATGCATATTGGTTAACCCTTTACGCCCTGAATTTCTGGGATGAAAATCGTAAAATTCACTTTTTCGGTTTTAAGTCTCACTTCAAAGCTGACATTCTGACCTATCCAATGGTAGGTACCAAAATCGTCTCTGTACGTTGATTTATGCCTTGACGACTGTTCGTGAAAGGGTTAGGGGTGGGGGAGTTCTTTAACATTTAATATGGGCGAAAATTACTGGTCGGGCACATAAATAGACAACCTGAAGACGCTGCTCTTTAGTTACCCGGCTGCTGTCGTGTGGGATGGTGCTCATGCAGTTGTTCCCACCATCCTTGACTGAATTTCGGCTCCAGTAATGTCTAGTCTTGCATCTATGTCACCTTGAATGCCTATTTTGAGGGGCTCGGGACTTTGTTGCGCCCTACTGAACATTCACACTTATTGTCACTGCAAATCTATCTCCTCCCAGAGTTTTTAAGCTACAGCAATAAGTAATATACCGTTCGATTTGCAAATAAAAGATCTAGAGATTGGTAGAAGCATTTTTTCATTTTCGTTATAGTTTTGAAAATATTTTGAAAAAAGGGAAGGGGAAATTCAAAAGTGGGGGGAGAAACCAATTTTTTTCAAAAAATGCCCACCCCACCCACAAAAATTAGAATTTTGAAAAACAGCAAGGACCAATCGATAGATATGGTCCTTACGCATTGAATGATATGCGTCTCGATGTTATAGCTCAAAAATGATAGGGGGTGATAGATTTCTACAGTACCCCCTTTTTGTCAGTTTTCTAAGAATTTCACGTTTTCTTTCAATTTTTTGGAAAAATTCACACGAACAAAAAAAGTCTTAGATTTATCTTTCACATATGTGTACCAAGTTTCAAAGTTATTTGTCAGTAATTAACCAAAATAGAATTTCCATAAGAAATTGGACATTGCCATTGGAAATTGGAAATTTTATTTCGGTTTCTTACCGACAGATAACTTTGAAACTTGGTACACATATGTAAAATATAAATCTAAGACTTTCTTTATTCCTGTGAATTTTTCGAAAAAATGACAGAAAACGTGAAATTGTTGGAAAACCGAAGTTTTTTTCTGTGTGACGAATTCGTCACGCCAGGGCGTAAAGGGTTAACAGCTAGATATGAAATAATTCATCTAGCAAGAATGTAGCAGTTCATAAAATGGCAGAAGAGCCCTAGTTCTGGCCCTAATGTTTTCCACGTTAGCAGGTAATGGGTACTTGCTGCATAGTCTAAAATTTGTATCTATCATTCAACATCAACCATATCAATCATAAATGCAATCTATGGAGAAACCTGATGGTAACTGCCATTCTACCATCATCCATTGATTTGTACCTCTGCATCTTTATTCACTGAATTTGGCATAACTATGTTATGACTGGCTTCTTGCTTTACAGTTTAAGGTGTGTCATTAATAGCAACACTAACTACTGCCTTCATCAAATGCAACTTTCTATGCTGCCTTCATCAATAATAACATTCATATTTTCTTTAGTAACCATGATGGCATTGCTTTCTACCCAATTTCAATTGCAAGTTGGCCAAAAGGTGCAATATATATATGACAAACATGCACTAATATTCAAAGGTGACATCACTACATTGTCATATTATATTGTTAATGCTGCCTTCAATAACAGTCATACTATTTGGGCAGGATCGTATCATGGGGGTCTGTGGCTAAGGCTTCTGTGTCATGGCTTCGGAAGAGGAGCCGACACAGGCTGCTCTTGAGAGCAGCCAAGGAGGTGTGGTCTCAGGTGAGCTACAGTAGTTTGGTCATTGATGTTCATTCATGTGATACTCAAGTACCAAATGAACTAAACATTCTATTGCTTCAAATTTAACTGATATTCCATTAAAGATAAAATATTTTTAAATAATAGATGTGGGCAGTGTCTGCAGGTGGGGTAGGTAGTTAAGATTTTAGGCATGTGGTTAACCTGCTTCATTGAAGATAAAAATATTTTTAAATAACAGATGTGGGGGCAGTCTCTGCAGATGAGATAGTTCAAATTTTAGGCATGTGGTTAACCTGCATAAAACACAGGGTCATATCAAATATTTGCCCTATGGTAAATTTTAGACTGATACGGTAGTTCATTGTAGACCAAATTCTTATAAATGCAAAATGGAGTCTAGAACACCTCAATGTTATGTGGACATTGATTGATCCAATGTTAGTCATGTGGACACTCCAGACTTTGCAGGATAAAAATAAAAATCTTGACCATGCTCATGATTCTTCATATCTTCTTATCTTTTTCAAAGTTTTGGATAAACTGAGCTGATCTTCATTGCATATTTATCTTTAAGTGTATAGTATATGTATATATATATTTGATTGAAGACCAGAGCATGCTTTTTATTAACAATCTTCTTGTTCGACTCATTGAAAAAACGAACAAGAAGATTGTAAATAAAAAGCATGCTCTGGTCTTCAATCAAACTTGCATAAAAGAAAAGCTTCTGCCTAACTACACCAGTGCATATATATATATATACCTACACTACCAATGTATACCTATTACAATTCAAAGTAAATTTACAAATATTTCATATTTACTAGTTGTAAAATCATTTATAGAAAGTAGCACACCTTGCTTATAATTATCATGAATGAAGTCAATAACGATGTCAATAACAGAAGTTCAACGTGATTACAGGATCCATTTCAAAACAAGGATCCTTCAAAAAACCCATTTAAATATCTTTATCGAAAATTTGCGGATATCAAAAATTTGCACTCTTGTCAGAAACACTAATGAAGGTTATGAAAGCAATGAAGAGAAGAGCCCTATTTTGTCAAAACAATTGTGGTGGGCATTTAAAAGATATTATATTTAAAAACTAGGATACAATATTACCATAAAAATGTTCTTCTTCCAAATAAAACAAGTTTCAACTTCATAACGTTCTTAGTTTTTTATTTATTAACAAATTAAAAGGGTTACTTAATTCTGAAACACCCTGTACCTATATTACAATTCAAAGTAGATTAAAAAATATCTCATATTTACTAATTGTAAAGTCACTTATAGAAAATAGCTCACCTTGCTTATAATTATCATGAATGATAGGAATAGAATGGAGGAAATCAAGGCCCAAATTGGAAATTTAATTTACTTACCCCCATTATAATGTTACATTTCTTGATCCATTGGAAGAACCCTCATTGTAACTCCTTCATGGAAAATTCCAGGAAGTGCCACTGAAATTGGAAAATTTTTTAATTGGCAATCAAATATTCTTGTAATTCTATTGCAAATTTAAGAATATATTAAGTTTCAGGAACTCATCCCGGGAGTGAAGCCATGCACGGCAGTGATGGACTTGTGTCAGCCATGGCCGGTCTAGACCTGCAGGGACGTCAGCCGGCCTGTGCTGCGACACAAGGTTTGTTTGAAGTCTTCCTCGCCTGCTGTGTTCTCATCCTGCTTCTCGTCTGCTGTGTTCTCATCCTGCTTCAACCAGTTTTATTTTGCTAAATGCTCCAACTTAAACTTGCTGAATGTCCCAAGGACACAACTGAAAGCTTCTAGTACAATGTTAAATGATATCATTAACAATCAAACTCTGGCCAATAAATTATGCACCACATTAATTTAGCTAAATTTAATGTTTGAACATAATTTTATTTAACATTGGAAGAAAATACCTATGCAACAGAAGAAGAAAATATGCAACAGATAATTAATGAAAATAAAATAAATTCCCAAAATCCTCCATTCAGGTGGGGCTGGGGACAAGCGTCCCCTAGGACAGAGGGGCGACGTGGTGTTGGGGGCGACCGCCTGTCATGACAGCGACGACGAGGACTCGCGCTGCGCCGTCTGCTTCCTGACCATGGTCCATCCTGTGCGCTTGCCCTGCGACCACGTCTTCTGCTTCCTCTGTGTCAAGGTCAGCCTCGTCTTGCTATACGGCAATTTATGGGTAGAACTTGCTTAGTGTTTTGTATCTAATTGCCTTAGTTGTGCAAGCTATTCTCCTAACAAATGCTTAGTTCTGAGTGTGGTCTGTAGCTTCTTGCTATATACATCAATTTATGGGTAGAACTTGTTTAGTATTTTCTATCTAATTGCCCTAGTTGTGCAAGCTAATCTCCAAATAAATGCTTAGTTCTGAAGGTGGTCTGGAGCAAGGCATGTGGCTCGACTAGGTGGCTCTTTTTTTTTAGGTTTTATATGATGTTTGTTTCCTTGTGAAACGCCTTCCCCTGCAAAAAATGATTAAGTCACATGTTTTCTTCATCTTCAGTTTGATTACTCGATAGTGCTTGTACAATCTTGTACAAACCCGACTAGTCACTGACACACCCGCACCAAGCCTTTACTGCGTGTGTACCCATTAAAAGTGTCGCCCAATGCCCCCACTGAGTTGCTGACCGCCCCCACTGACAACCGTGAATTGAATTACCAGTGGTTTTATGAGGGCCGCAATGGTGAGTGAGGTGACGCTGATGGCTTCTTTATGCCGTGTATTTGTAATTTTTCTTAATGTGTCAAGGTTGCGTTACATAAACAACTACCATCAGATTCCTTCAATAAGAAAGCTTCCCAATGAACTATGCATGTGGAATGTGTAGGATATGGAGTTGAATATAGTAGTTATAGTTATTATATCTACGTCGTGATGTTTCAATGCGGATACGGGAATTATTGTACTCTAAAAGATATCGAGAGAAGAAATTAATTTTTTATATGCTACGAAAACGCCAAGTAAATTTACTCGATATCACGAATTTTCAGACTAATGATACTTTTATTTTATTGCATTGCCCCCGTAGCAGGTTTGTAGAAAAAGAGATAACAGGACATTTGTTACTTGTATGTTAACATATCATGCCCGTGGCAGGCTGGTGGCAGTAGAAGATAACAGGGCATTTGTTACTTGTATGTTAACATATCGTGCCCGTGGCAGGCTGGTGGCAGTACGACGCTCGCACCAACAAGGAGATCGAGGACGCGTACCAGTCTGAGGCGACGACGTGCCAGGTGCTGGTCGTAGGACTTGTCTTCGTGGTGGACTTCACGCGCATGCTGCAGTACAGGATCAGGGATCCTTCCAAGCGACGCAAGATCAAACGGGATCTCAGTGATGCTCCTATGAAGGGTATCGCTGGCATCTCTGCTAGCAGGCTTGATGGCCGCGAGGAGGATGTGGGTCATCACGATGCACATCTTCCACGTGTAGATGAACATCACATGTCCCCGCCTTTGCATCATAGGCAACATGAATATCAAACTCCTCATGTTGGTGCGCAGGTTTCACGTCTTGATGTTCATGGCATTCCTCCTTATGTACATCAAATAGATGATCTTGATGTACCCCAAGCTACCCATCACAGTGCACATCCTGTGCATCAAATCCCGCACCACAGTCGACATCCTCCCCCATACCTCACAGATCCCCCCACTGACGCCCCACCCCTGAGGGTGACCCACCATGCAGAGGCTGCAGGTGCATCAGTGGGAGGCATGGGGTACGATGAGCCTGGTCGCCGCCCCCTGTGGATGGGGAGGTCGGGGACACGTCAACCCCGATCCCCACCCGTTAGACCTCCTCCCCCGACCGTCAGTAGTCGCTTCACTGGTGACCTCCACGGGGACGCCTGTCCTTCCCCTCCCGTGGGGCTACCGATGAACCAGTGCCCTTGGGCTGCTCCCCAACAACATTGTCATCCCTCTCACTCGTTGAGGGGTGTTCCATCCCACTCTAGAGTGACAGAGAGACCTTTCCACTCCAGAGTGACTGAGGGGCCTTCCCAATCATCTGATGGGGACCAGCATGATATGCCGGAGGAGTTTGTGTTGCCTGAGGACCTACCAGATGACCTCTCCTCCTCTCAGGGCGCCGTCCTTGGTGTTATCGCGGATTCGCTGCCAAGAATTCACCTGCCACAGCTAGACCAACGTACCAATTGTTGCCAGTGCCATCGGTGCCATCTGATGCCAGGGTGCTGCCACCTCTGCCGGCAACTGCACAGTCAAGCGCAGTGTTTAGACAACGGAATTTGTCCTTCATTTGGCGAATGTCCTCAGCATTGCGACTGTCCTGGACTTTCATGCGACTGTATTGGGCCTTCTTGTAAATGCCCTAGGTCTTCTTGCCACTGTCCTGGGACTTCCTGTGACTGTCCTCGGCCTTCTTGCGACTGTAATCGTTCCACACGTCCTGCTAGTGAAGTGAACCTTCGTCGTCATGGGGCCCACGTCTGCTGTCGCTGCTCCTCACGTCATCGTCCTGCTCACCCTCCCTCCTGCAGACTTCCAACCCTTACACCAGGCACTGATGAGGACCCTGGCGATGAAGGGCAAGCTGGCACTGACCCTTCGCTGCCAGACTAACTACCCTAACAATATGCATGCGAGCCCGACTCTGCTTCAGGCACCGCCCAGGACTCGGGGAACACGTAAATCAGCCGCTAATGTTCGTCTCAGCCGAACTTGCAGTGCAGCCTCCAGGCAGCCTGCAAGCTCGGCATGACTCGGCCACACCAACCTTCGTCATACTCTCAGGATAAAGCCGGAAAAAAAGTTCGATCGGTTGGCCGAGTACACTTGGAACAACTCTAAGCCGAGTGTGACGACTACTGAACAGAAGCACGGACGTTACCTAAATTTTGGGTGAGGGGCTCGCGACGTTGGGTGAGCCGACCGAGCAGGTGTAGGCCTCGTAATGCTATTCCTACGTACATCCAGATTAATTCCAACTTAGAAAAAGCTAATCCTGATAATTTACGTCTCGTTTCATTCTGTTTTACCCAGGCTTTATACGATTTTGTATTTTTGTTTTTTCTATTTTACTCATCCGACTAGTAGAACATTTGACACTGATTATGATGCAGGAATTTGACTTGTTATGATTATATATGCAGGAATTAGACGTGTTATGATTATGTATGCAGAAATTTGTAATTCGTTCACTTGTGGTTTAACTAACTCCAATTAAGTATTGAATCATTAATTAACTCGGATAACTATTTTCTTTTCAGTAACTGAAATCACCAAACTTGTTGTAGCAAACGTTACACATTTCGTGTTATACATTAAATTTGCTTTCAGTTAGTTAATTAGCTGCCTAATTATGAAGAATTGTGTAATCTAGAGGTGAATGTAGTTTGTTGGAAGTGGTAGTTACAAGCGTTATTAGGTGTTGTTTAGGGTAAGTTATATGTAAAGTGAGGCTTAGGTTAGGGTAAGTTATTTGTATAGGGAGATTCCGTTTTGGGTAAATTATATTTATAGGGAGGGTTAAGTTAAGGTAAGATATATGTTTAGAGATGGTTAGGTTAGGGTAAGTTATATGTATAGGGAGGGTTAGGTTAGGGTAAGTTATATGTATAGGGAGGGTTAGGTTAGGGTAAGTTATATGTATAGGCAGGGTTAGTTTAGGGTAAGTGATATGGATAGGGAGGTTCAGTTTGGGTAAGTCATATGTAGATTAAGGATCAATTTAGATAAGTTATATCACTTATATGTAGAGTTAGGTTCAGTTTAGGGTAAGTTATATGTTTAGTTATTGTCATTTTAAGGTAAGTTATATGTATAGGGAGGGTTAGGTTAGGGTAACTTATATTTATATGGAGGGTTAGGTTATGGTAAGTTATATGTATAGAGAGAGTAAGGTTAGGGTAAGTTATATGTATAGAGAGGTTTATGTTAAGGTAAGTTATATATAAGGGTAAATAAAGTAAGGAAATACCGGGATGTCGTACAGAAAACGACAAGGTTAGGGTAACTTATATTTATATGGAGGGTTAGGTTATGGTAAGTTATATGTATAGAGAGGTTTATGTTAAGGTAAGTTATATATAAGGGTAAATAAAGTAAGGAAATACCGGGATGTCGTACAGAAAACGACGCACCCGCCACATCAAGACTCGGAAATCGTATTAAGGCTGTACATAGTTGTTCTAGTGTATCCTTAGTTTATTTTTAAATTACTCTTAACGTACTCTAGGGTAATTTTAACGTGATCTTAGTTTACTTCTAACACACCCTAAGTGTACTTCAATGAACCCTAAACGTACCTTTCAGCTTAATTTCAGCGTAGCTGTATGGTACTTTTAGCTTACCCCGTATGGTTATTTGCAAGTGAAGTGATCACTGGTATGCGTGTGATAAGAATACCGTACGTAGAGTTAACCCACTTCTGAACCCAGCTGGTAGAACAGATTCATAGTTAGAACTAGAAACTGATTCATTAGAATCAGTAGATTCTAATTCATAGAAGTGATTCGTTTCTAGTTATCTATAATTTGATTTAACTTGTTAAATGGTTAGTTTGTTGATATTGTATAAGTTTATAACAAGCCTCGTGTAGGCGGGGCGCTGTGATGTGTCGAGCGTGTGTTTCTTGTTACATATTCATCACATTATAGCCTGGGCAATTAGAACTAATACATGAAATATTTCACAATTTTTTCTTCCAGATTGTTCATTTCTTTACTTCTTATTCTCCTCATGTTACACGAATAATTATACTTAAGAATTGATATTATTAGTATGGCTTGATTGCGAATGCATCACCACATCACACGTTACTACACTACACTACAACAACCCTCTGCAACACACTGCACCACCGCAACACACAACGCAGTGCAACACAGCGTCCCCGCACTACACTATGGCGCTCTATGGTGAAATGATGGCGGCATTAGTAATAAGGTTGTAAATAGTAGCCTTAATCCTACACTTAGCCCTACTCTTAAAGTTGTACATAGTAGCCTTACCCCTACACTTAGCATAGTCTTTAAGGTTGTACATAGTAGCCTTAACCCTACACTTAGCCTAACTTTTAAGGTTGTACATAGTAGCCTTAACCCTACACTTAGCCTAGACCTTAATTAAGATTGTACATAGTAGCCTCAATCCTACACTTAGCCTAGACCTTAAGGTTGTACATAGTAGCCTTAATCCTACCCTTAAGGTTGGACTAAGTAGCAGTACACTTAACCTCGCCTTTAGATCTAGCCTTAGTCCTATATTGACGGTAAGACTAAACTTAACTTTAGGTTAACGGTTAACCCTATTTCTAAGTTCTGGCTTAATCCTATTCTTAAGGCTAAGATTACCTCAAGCCTTAAGCCTAACCTTAAGGTTCATCTTACCTCGAACCTTGATGCTGAGGGATGACTGACTCACCTTTACCGCAGTCTGATTCACCTTTACCGCAGTCTGATTCACCTTTACCGCAGTCTGACTCACCTTTACCGCAGTCTGACTCACCTTTACCGCAGTCTGACTCACCTTTACCGCAGTCTGACTCACCTTTACCGCAGTCTGACTCACCTTTACCGCAGTCTGACNTATAGTGTATATAACCTAGTCTCTACTTTTGTCTAACCTTATGCTAGTTATGTTATAGTATTTTTACAAGTTTCAGGAGTTTGAGGTAGGGTTAAGGTAGTTAAGTTGACTACGTTTACTGAGTTGTAGTTGAGATAGTGGTAGTTGACAATTATCTCCCTAGGTTCAGTGAGTTGTAGTTAAGATAGTGGTAGTTGACTAGTATCTCCCTAGGTTCAGTGAGTTGTAGTTAAGATAGTGGTAGTTGACTAGTATCTCCCTAGGTTCAGTGAGTTGTAGTTGAGATAGTGGTAGTTGACAATTATCTCCCTAGGTTCAGTGAGTTGTAGTTGAGATAGTGGTAGTTGACTAGTATCTCTCTAGGTTCACTGAGTTGTTGTTGATATAGTGGTAGTTGACTAGTATCTCTCTAGGTTCACTGAGTTGTTGTTGATATAGTGGTAGTTGACTAGTATCTCCCTAAGTTCACTGAGTTGTAGTTGAGATAGTGGTAGTTGACTAGTATCTCCCTAGGTTAACTAAGTTGTAGTTGAGATAGTAACAGTTGACTAGTATCTCTCTAGGTTCACTGAGTTGTAGTTTACAATTATTGTAGTAGAGGTGAATATCTGGTAGAGGTTCTACTTCTGATCAGGGAGAAAGTAGGTTCATGGTAGCCTAGGACCTAGGTTACATGGTATCTCCGTATTTTTTACAATGTTAGTTTTTAATTTCGATTTAATTGAGATGGATAGTATGACTATACGTTCAGTAGGTTTAGCGGCTAGTAGTGGGGGGTTTGGTCTTAGCGTTGCAAAGAGTTTTATAATAACGTCAATAGCCGTTTTAGCTCATCAATAATATAAAAAAAATTCAAATTTTAACATTCAAAAAAAAAAAAAATATTGAAAATCGGAATATTCTGTCAGATCATCTTTTCAGATTTTATTCTGTGCGGGATGGAAGTGATCCTTCCATCGAACTCGCTAAAACGTTTTCTTATTAAAGTTTTTAACATTTCTTCTTTTGGAAGACATTTTCGTACGTATATAATTTCTGATGTACGTTGATGCGGATGTTGGATGTCTCCTTAACTTTCAATGGGTCAATTCTGCGACACATCAATGGTTGCCACCTTGTGGCCCACAATTAATAGGTTATTCTTTCACTAATGATTATAACATAAATATTCATGGCTAAATTGAACAATTCATTACCCCCTCCTAAAGATTAAATTACCATATGGGTATTATTTGTTTTCAGTTGAAGAACTACTGCTCTTTATATGGGGTGATACCATATCTTTCCTGTCCGTGTATGGTGAATTACCTTATTTAGGGGGCACCGGGTCTTTCCATCGGGCAGGGTGAAGGACCTACGTATCCTTGAAAAGGTTACAGGGCCCATCCCACCCCCGGGTAGGGGTGAAGGACCTACGTATCCTTGAAGGAGTTACAGGGTCCATCCCACCCTCGGGCAGGGTGAAGGATCCCCGTATCCTTAAAGGGGTCACCGGGTTCATCCCTCCGGGCAGGGTGAAGGATCCTCGCATCTTTTAAGGAGTTACAGGGTCCATCCCCCCCACCCCCGGCAGTGTGGAGGTGCTAACATAAGGCTGTCTCTTGCTGTTACTTGCAAATTTCAGGTCAGCGTTGCCGGCTAACAGCAAAGTACGTGAGTAAAAAAAGGCTCTTTCATTTTCCGAGCGTAAACCACGGCCGTGCCTTTGTCGGCCGTTCCTTGGTCTGCCAGAAGGCTGTGAACGCATGCTGGATAGTATATAGAATGTTATCTGTATGGAGACTATCAAACTCGATAACCTTCAAATCTCTTAAATTAATTGCTTCAGTTGCAGTTTTCATTAATAATGACTTCCGGCGAATAGTATTAAATATAAGCTGTTTTAACCGCAATCTTTGTCCGCAATACATGTAATACTTATAAGCTTAACCCACAACTTGATACGTCTGCCGCCCCTGCAACAATGACGAATAAATTACGCTAGGAAGTACAGTCGCTTGCATCTGTACAGGCAATAGGCGGAGTGATGATTTCTGATTCGTATAAGGCTTCATCTTGTCTAGTGGAATTTGTCGGCACGAATTTGTTGACGTGTAGTTCCCAGCAATAGTAAAATTCGAGCTTTATTTGCCAATTCCGGTACTCGTATGGAAAACTCAATTGGATTATCTGAAAACTGGCCAACTTGCGGAGAAGAAACGGCTGAAGTACAGTATCCTTTGTGCAAATGCTCCAAACTACTACAACCCTTCTCCCACGTCAGCAGCTTGTGCGATTGTAAGGAAGAAAATATAATTAGCTTCTTCATACTCCATTTATTTGGTTAAGCTACAGTCGAACTAAAAATTTCGTACCTCAAGTCTTGTAAGTTAGTATGAAACAACACCGAGCAGATCAAGTTGTATCGTCTTAAAATATCATCATTGCTGGCAATTGCTTCCTCCGACTGTACACTACTGAGTGCAAATGGTGGATTCGATGTGTAGGTCAGCGCTGTAAAAGTCTGATTATCATGTAAATTTCAGGAACGCTTGAAAAAAAATGAACATATGAAGATCACGAAAATTTTTAAAAACCTCATCTGGCCTAACCGCAGGTAACATTAGATCCATGGTTGAAATAATACAGTATTATTTCAACCATGATTAGATCGGCCTCATCCGGATTCTTCTGTCTTGAGAACGCACTCTTGCACTCGCTCATCAAAAACTTGCCGGATAGTCACCAAGCGGCTGACACTTGCCAGATTTACTAGCCGTCTGCACTATCCCCGTGTACAAGCACCTTAAAGTTGCTTGTACACGGGGAGACAATCTGATCTGCTCACAAGCACGGCTGGCCAAACCCCGTCCAGTGGCTTGGTCAAAAACAAAACTGGCTTTGGGCCGCGAGTAGAAGATTCTTAATTTGTCTGTCTTGGCTTGCTGATTTTGCACAATAGCGCGGTTTCTATCTTTTGCTGTCCGCCATTGCTCGCAACGTATGTACAACTGTGGTTGAACTAGTATAAGGTTGACCCATGAGAAGCTCATTTTTTATTCAAAAGCTGGGATGTCAAGATCTTCGTTTTTCTATTTCGATAACAATCAACGATTAATAATAAAACTCTCGTTTTGCTGCTCGCCTTATCATTGGCACTAATTTCGTCCAAACCAATAAATTGACCGGAATAAGGCTCACTTGGCCACTATATATATAGGCTTGTGCGCGGAACGTTCGTGATCACTGTTATCTCCTTTCATCAAGGTAAATCCACAGATAACAGCCACACATTTTACTAACTCATAGTCTGATGGCACAAAGAAAGTTCAGTTTCATGCACTAAGATGCATTGCAAGTGGTGCAACATAAACTGGTGACTGATGCATTTTGTGGACCAGACGCTGGAATAATTTATACAGCAGTGGTGCAATCCACACACAAACACACATGGTGTAATAATTTGGAGTTATTTTACATGCGGCGTGCTCGCGCATGTCAGTCCAGTGTGGCACGCGCCTCCGTAAAGTATGGGTTCGTGTGTTGGAAGCTATCGAGGATTGCAAGATAGCTTTATTCATAAATTTTGCGAGGTAGGTATCCATTTGTAGTAAAATTTGAAATTAACGCATAATGCGTTTACAGCGTTATTCAAATCATCTACACTTATTAGTTAGAAAATTGAGCCGTTACTTTGTAATATAATAATAGTTTCATTGGAATTACCTCCGGAAGGAGCCTGGTTTGTTATTCTTTCTAATGTACAACAAAACGGGCACGAGTTTGGATGCATTTGATGAACTGTGTTTTTTTTTATCAATACACCAGTGTCATTATTTAGACTTGAAGGAAATGTCTTCAACTTCTGTTCTAGCGCTAGCAGTGGAATCTATGATTTGTTTTAGATCTTCCTTTCCAGTTATCTTCATTATTGATTTATTTCATTTCGGCTCATTTTTCTATTCCAAATTTCTTTTAATTTATGTTTTAGTAAAGAATATTTACTGTCGGTCTACACACATGACACATCCAATCGATAGCATTATCATCCACGGCTATCATACTCATACACGTCTAGCTTAATTTACGGCTTGATTGCTGATTGGAATATAGGACATTATTTATAGTATAGGTATCAAGTATGGGTAACTCACGATTCATAGTAAATTGTGAGTTGTGTGCTGTAACAGGCGCTAACTCAAGTCACCATTCGTGGTACTTCTAATGCGCACCTTGTACTAAATGGAGTTACTTTTTCTGACAAGAATTTTAATCTAGAATCTAATCATTTGGTTTCATGGTTTGACGAGTCACTCTAACTACCACCTAATTCGCCGCTCTACAATTCAAACAATACTGATCGAAAATATATTTGCTATCTTTAAGTTTTATAAATAACCCTCGCGTGCTTTTAAAATGATGCTAGGAAATTCTTTTCGAATATATTCTTTAGAAAAAGCTGCCTATGTAAGGACGGCGACATAGTTGCGCTGTCGCCTTGCTTAACAATGGCGGTATAGTCGGTGTATCCGAGGTACGGAAGAAAGAATTTCTGTTGTTCTAGGTCAGTGCTACCTAAAATTTTCACCGTGTTACCCATTTCAAAATAGACCTATTAGATCGATGAAAGGAATGTATTTAATTTACAAAGGCTTATCTCTCGAAAAATTGAACTATTTTTAATAACCGCCAACTGGGAACCAGTGATCATAGCAGACGGTCGATCAGTTATTCGTAGCACCAGTCGTGTTTGGTGTTTCCGTGGCGACGTTGGCATGAGATTAATGTGAAGTTCGGATCCATACGACCTGGTCGAACGCTGGCCTAAGTACACGTAGCGGCCTAAGTACACGTAGTGGCCTAGGTAGAACACACGTAATGGCCTGTGCGTGCACTTAGGCCTAAGTGCAAGCACAGGCCTAAGTGCATGCATAGGCCTAAGTGCACGCACAGATATAATGCCCGATTTCTCGTCTATGATTGGTGGGTTTAGCTCCAAAAGGCATCAACGATTGGCTGAGGCAGCTAGGAACTCGTAACATTACTTATTGTGCAGCCCCTAAACACGGACTGCTCTCATCGTGTACAAGCTTCCAGAAGACGGTTCGAACAAGCCAAAATGGTTCATGTTTTCATAAAGATAGCTCAGTTAAAACATACGGTAATTCTTACTTGATTCTCTCTCTGTTAGAGAGAGAATCAATACAGAGTACCGACCGAGAGTTTCTGTCGGTACTCGTTCTTATCATTAAAGTAAGCCAATAAATGTCAAAATTGGAAAAAAACACGCGACATTTATCCCTAATAAACTGAAAAATTTCGTCGGACTAAAAAACCTACGCAACTTAACTCCTAACTTCACCGTCTTCACGGGCCTGTCCGTCGGAATCCTCGAGTAATGTTCATGTTACAGTTCGGCAAGATTTTTCCTTTACTGATTTATTTGAACTTGGTTTGAAGTTGCACAAAATGTGTCGGCTAGAAATGGAGTGGTCGCTGCTTCTGGTGCATGAGCTGCTCAGCGTAGTTGTTATTAAGGAGTCAGGTTTTACGTCTTTTTTTACAAATTTTACGTCTTCATTGTGTAGAGGTTGGTTTCTTAGAAATGCCACGTCAACTGAGGTAATCCTTGATCTACTTTTGATGCGAATTAATTAGTCAGCCTTTGAAATTTCATTGAGAAATGTGAGAGATACTCCCAACAATAAGACATTATCAAAATAGATACTGCGTAAATCTTACTAATTCAAAGCTTACGAATTAAATTTCGAAATTTCATCAAGGGCGGATGGCAAGGGTTTGCTGGAAACGCCAGACCGCCCGTGTGCACTAGCAAATAAAAGCGACAAATAGCCTAATCGATTATTCAGAGAGAGATTGGGTCATTTGGGTGTTGCGTTTGCAAAATGCAAATGTAAGGCCGTCAGGCGTCATGATAGAAGTGGTCGCATGTTAGTAGCCCTCTAAAAAATGATCAGATTTAGGAGTATTTAGGCACTTGATTGAAACCAATTTGAATTTATGAATGTAGGGTACTACCGCTACTACGTTTACGTACACGTAGTACGTAGCACTCACGGTAGCAGAAACGCTAAAACTAAAAGCCTTCATGAGCTTCATCTGGATTTCTGTCATTCTGTGTCATCCGATGCCATCTTTGCAATGCCGATGATCTTGCATAACTATTTTTGCTGTTTTGAAGTCAGACTGTCGGTTACTGTTAGTTTTCCGTACAGTACAACAGTACTGCAGTGTGGAATTCTAGAGGGATATTAAATTAACCAGTACACATAGCATATTGGAAAGCAGGACCTGAAAGGTTGGAAAGTCCAGGAACTTATGTCATCCGATGCCATCTTTGCAATGCCGATGATCCTGCATAACTACTTTTGCTGTTTTGAAGTCAGGCTGGCAGTGGCGGTTACTCAGTTACTGACTTACTCACTGTCTTACTGTTAGTTTTTCGTACAGCCTACAGTAGAGTAGACTCAGTAGTCAGTAGTGAGTAGAGGAGCACTGTAGTCAGTGTAGTATATAGTAGTACAAACAGTTGAACGTAAAATGTTAGTAGCCTACATTGTCAGTTCGTCACCATGCATGAGTACTTGAGTAGCATGTAGCAATGAGGCAAAGACTATTACCAAAACCAGTAACATGAGTGATGAGAATGAGCAATCTGAGGCAGATTTGCTGCCAATTCCTACCTCCTGCCCCTGGCGGTGCAAGTGCAACTGCAACCTGTCCCTGTTTCTAGATTCTCTGTAATTGACAAAAAATGACATATATATATAGGTACTTTTAAGGTTCTTAGTTAATAAAAGCTTTAACTGCATGGCTGCATCATTTTATAAAATTTTATGTCAAATGCCAAGAAAAGAATAATATAAGTGACTTGAAAGTTGAATGTTATGTTTTATTGTAATCTATATACTTTATATATAGGAGTTGAAGTAATTTTCTTACCTAATTGAAAATTTAATGGCAGACATTGTCCAATGTCAAATCTTGTTGATTGAGTTATAATTAGAAAATGATTCACTCAGCCACAGCCAATGAGCCAAAATCTCTGCCGTTAGTTTGCCAAAACTGAATGGAACTGGAGCGCAGCTGTGCACCACCAATTTTGTGCACCAATAAGCCCTGAATGGAATGCCTTGGATCTCTCCAGAGTCCAGACCTACATCAATCAGAAGTGCACCACTTGGCTTTTACCTCTTCTGGCCTTGACCACCACCTGCCGTGCACCACCAGGCCGCGGATCGAATGTGACTTCCGGGCATTGTTAAATTACGTAATTCTATGTTCACCACATCTGAGGTTAGGTTTCAGATAGCATAGTTCTGTTCCAAAATTTATCGTCCTTCGACAAGTGGCCGTTTGACCGAGGGCTGGTTCGACCCACAGCCTAGATATGGACGGTTTGAGGTGTTGAAGGCTACGTTCCGGAACGCAGGAATCATGATGGTCCATTACATCCAAGGGCAGTGGTGGTCTTTGGCAGGCAACCCAATGGAACATCAAATGTTTGTTTTTATACTTAATTGTTTCTGTTAGGCTGTCAGCAGTTCACTCACTTCACTGATGTCTTATCAAAGCATAGTGGCAAACCAAAGATTTTTTAGAATCAGTTCATTTTTAATTACCTTATTTACCCAAGATTTAAATCAATTTTTTATGTATGATACTGCAGGTAGCAGAATTTATCTCTATCTCTAACCATCTTTTTATGAATGCAATGGGCCATTTGCTAATGGCTATCTTCATTTAAAGTTTCTCTTGATTAATAACCCATCTAAAAAACAACTTGGACAACTTTTTAAATAGTCACAGGGCTTATGGAGTTTACTCCATTTTTGGAGCTACCAGATTCCTGCTATATGAATTATCTTGTATCTAATTGTTAATAAAAGTGCTCAATTGAGTGACAAATTTCTAAAATTGTCAAAATCATGTCATTTTGGGGCCATGATATTTCAGTGATAAATAGGAATTTTATTATCTTGATATGAGGGACATAGTTTTCAACTCTTCATTGCATATTTTATAGAATCTATTTATATATATATAAATATATAGGTAATTTTAAGAATTTTTCATCAAGAGCTTGCAACTTTATTTGGTTTCACAAGTTGAATTTTCCTCTTCTTATACAATTTTCAGAAAGATCAAAATGTTTCTTTAATTTTGCACCAATAACATAAATTTGTTTCTTCATATATCTAAATAATTTGAGAGAAAATCAGAGATCTGCATAAAACATCAGTCAAGGTTTGTATGATCCTGTTTATTGATAGAAAAGTTTCGAAATGTAATATTTTATAATGTTCAAAATCATTATCAAGCTAATTACATTCTATTATTTATATATCATGTCACCCATATGAATACTGCCAGCATACTTTATTCATCTAATGTTTATTATATCGATGTAAAACTTTATGTAATGATGTTAAAAAGAAAAATAATTCACAATCTTTAGATGTATCTTGATTCCTGACCCAATATGAAGAATATACAGTCAGAGATCTTCAATATTTATCCAACATAATTGTATTAAAAAAGAAGAGTATAAAGAACCACACTTTCTTAAATAAATAGGTATATATTTTGATCAACAACCAATCATTATGGAATAATTTATTCTGATGGAATGAGAGCTCCAGAAAATGATTCTGACAAATAATTTTATAGTTGAATTTAACTTTAATGGTAATGATATTAATGCTTTTCAGTAAAATATCTTTGGTACATTTGTTCTGTTACCTGATTTCTGAAATAAAAAACCATCTATATATAAATTTATAATCTTTTTGCAAACAAAAAAGTTTTCTTGTGTGCATCTTATTATGTGATTTTATTTCTTATTTAAATTATAAATTTCTATAATATTTTTAAAAGAAAGATTTAGCTATTAGAATTTTGACAAAAATTTGTGTTTTAGCCTTCAATGTAATTTTTATCCTCCTAAACACTTCACAAACAGTTGTTGTTTTGCACTATATCCCCTCTTGTCATCTACATTTTCCCCCTTTTATTTCTTAGATGGCAAGACCTGAGATCTACCGTCTGATGGTGACACAAAACGTCAACCACAGCATACTGAGCATCCCGTCAACAATGACGTCTTTTGGCCAGAGTGGCGACTATTATAACATTGGCATGTTTGACGTATCCGGCTCCATGTGCGAAGTGTGGCCACACATTAAAGAAAACTGGAACAGAGAAGTTGCTCCCCTCCTTAATGGTTGGTTGGCTCATGATGAAATTTTGTTGTGAATAAATAAGTATTTGGTGAACAAATTTACATGTTTTGTTTAATATTTTTCCATGTAAACTTATTTTCTCAACTGAACTATCTAGTTGTAAACCTGAGCAGTATATTAAATGTGTGTAAATTTTATTCACTTCCACAATGCATCAGAAAGTTTGAATACTGCCCTTATTTAAACTAGAGTGAATGTGTGTATGAGTCAAGTTTATTTCAATACTCATAATGACATTCATGGAAACACTAGCTTAGCTCAAGTTTTGATTGAATTATTTCTAACTTTGTTGCATTCATTAAAATTGTGCTGAAGAAATTCAAACGCTCATGAGAATCTGTAGATTGATAAAAAACTTTAATCTTATCATCTCAGGTAGTACCGACATCTACACCTTTGGCGATGATGTAAAGTTCCGCAGAAGCGAAACTAATTTGGAGGATGGTGATTTTGACTGCTCTGGGACAGAGGATTTGGGTGAAGCACTGAAAACCATCCATGAAAAAGTTCACCAGCGCAAGGAGATTAACTGTCGAATTTTCTGGATAACTGATGGAGGCAGCTGTGAAGACTCAGCTGCAATTGGAATTGATGACTTGCATATACCCCAAGGCAAAACCATTGAATTTTATTTGTTGGGGGTCGGTGATAGCTTTCCAGTTCAGTACAGCATTGACATCAGGTCAAAACTGCACAATGGTTCTGCCAGCTGTCCTACTCTCTTTTGGAATAGGCTCTTGGACCATGAAGGAACGCTAGCAGAAATGGTCAAAATAGGAGAAGAAGTAACTAAAGGCATGTTGAAACTGAACGTTTCCATCCCTGGTAAAATAGTGCCTTTGATACCAGAAACTAAAACCAACGCTCGATGTGGTGAGTTTCTGTACTATGAAATGGAGCCAGAGCAACTCAAGTCCAGCCTGGTAATAACTGCTGAGGATGGATCAAGTATTCCTGTAGAAGAAGGTATACGTCTTGCTGATGCCAGGTTTCTGGTAGATAAACTGTACAAGCAATGGGTTTCTGTGATCATGCAGCGCCATAGGAATAAACAAGGTGTTCCCATTGGCTTCTTCGAGATGATGGAGAATTGCTTTATCCTACAAATGAAAGATTGTGATGATGTTGCAAGCTCCAACATAAAAGACCGAATAGCGCGCAAGAATATCAAACATTTGAAGCTAGAATTCGCGACTCTGATGAACCAAAGTCGGGGCATTGTTTCTTTGGAATCTAAGTTCCAGAATGAGATTGAGTTGGCTGAGGCCATCTTCAAGTCTACCGTTCAGAGTCGTTATGACGACAGGCTTCTTAAGATCAAAGGCCATGGAGAGTCTGAGTGGACCGATGATATTCTTGCCTTCAAGGAGATTTATCTCTCACTGAAAGACGAGATCGAAGCTCTGCCTGAGCCTGAAGCTGACGACTGTTGTAGAGTATTGATGGGCTCTTTCATCGGCGATCTCAAAGACCCGGATTTTCTGGATGTCCTGCAGCTGAATAAAATGATATTCTTGATGACGATGACGTTCACTGGCATCCCAATCTACGCGCCGGTCAAAGACTCGGCCCAGATCAATCCCTGGACGTTGCATGTAAAGAATATTTGTGTAAGTCCGTTCGAGATATTGTCTCAACGAGTCATAGAATCTGCCTTGACTGCCGGAGCTGACAGCACGAATGACAAGGAGATCAGGTTACAGCAGGACAACCCTGGGTCTGTATGCAACGCCATTGTTCCTATTGTACCCAAGCAACACTGCAAGGCGCTGAAGAAACTCATCAGGACCAACGTTTTCGCAGTAGGTGCAACCTTCTGTATCCTGAAGAACGCCCTCATTGTCGATCACTCCTGCCACCTTGCGGCTCTTGCGTGCGTGTGGTTCAAGACCATACAAGACTACCCTGCCGCCAGCCGCCCTGAATTCATCGTCAAAAGACTCAGCGACATTGAAGAGACCGCCAAGGTCTACATGGACCGCCCCACCATCGTCAACTACGTCTCTGCTCTGCAGAAGAATCCTTCGTTGGCACTCATGACAGAGTCGGAGGAACAAGAGGGCAGCGTCCTCAAGTGTGAGTCGATCATAAAGCCAGTTTTCCTGATCAGTTTGGTAAAAGATCAACTTAAGGACATGGAGGACCCTGGCCTCCTGCTGAAGCTGATAGTCGTGGAGTTCTTGGGTCGCTGTCTGTCCTCCTACACGTCCAAGTGTCCCTACATGGACTTGACCACGTCGGTCACCGAGGAGATGCGACAAGCCAAACTTGAACAAATTTCCTCAGTGAGTTATTTGTCTTCTTATGGAAATACTCTTATAACCCAAACATGGGCAGAAAGTGAATTGATACTTAGGCAAAGTCTCACTCTTATTTCTGAGTGTTCTATTCTTGTTTTTAGTGTCGCTTTTCACTTTCATTTAATTTTACATCTTTTCTTAACTCCACATGTTCATACATTTTAATTGGAGTTAGGAGGAACCATCTTTTGTATGCCAAGTATATAAGATTTCATTACTATACAAACTATAAGATTTATATAATATATAAGATTAATAATATATAAGATATATAAGTATATAAGATTTCATTACTATACAATAGGTTTAGGTTGGCAGAATTTCATTTGATATTCTCTTATCAGATCTCCCATTCCTATTAGGAGTCAACAAGAGCCATCAGGAGAGTTCATATCAAGAAATAATGAGCATCAAGTCTCATTATTTCTGGGCAGTTGCTTTTAATGAGCGATATTTTAATTGACAATGATAAAATAACAGCGTTTGTTATCAGGAGCTTCTCGAGGGCGCTGGGTTGGGCGACGCAGAGCTGCTGACGTCGTGCTTCGCCCGTCAGGACGTCGCTAAGCACGTCAGGCAGAAGGTCGCCGACGTCTCCGGGGACGTTATCGCCAAGAGCTCCCTGCTGCCCGACGTACCTCAGCCTAACGTCGACAAGGTGCGACCAGCCCGGGAAAATGCGTTTTTTTCACTGAAAATTAAGGTGGAAATTGCGTCTTACTACGCAATATGAACGAAAAGAAGGCATCTTTCCAATAAAAGAGCGTAGACAATTATCGCATTTTAAAAGTAATAATACCGATATAATGTGTATATTATTATATTGTAATAACGATATAATGTATATTATTATATTGTAATAATGATATAATGTGCCTGTTATTATATTGTAATAACGATATAATTTATATATTATTATATCATGAACATGCGCAGATCGCACGGCTGCGTCACAGCGGTAGCGCGGGGCAGGTCAGCTGGCAGGGCCTGCAGGCCTGGGCCCAGGAGCTGGCGTGTGGGGCCACGCCCCTCTGGTCCCCAGCCTCCGTGCAGGACGCCTTCAGTGGGCCTATGGTGTGTACACTCGTACACTCTTTGTACACTCGTACACTCTTTGTACACTCGTACACTCTTTGTACACTCATACACTCTTTGTACACTCACAATGCTCTCTGTACACTCATACAATGCTCTCTGTACACTCATACAATGCTCTCTGTGCACTCATACAATGCTCTCTGTATACTCGTGCAATGCTCTCTGTGCACTCATACAATGCTCTCTGTATACTCGTGCAATGCTCTCTGTACACTCATGCAATGCTCTCTGTACACTCGTACAATGCTCTCTGTACACTCATACAATGCTCTCTGTGCACTCATACAATGCTCTCTGTATACTCGTGCAATGCTTTCTGTGCACTCATACAATTGTGTGAGTGTAAGTCATTTCCATGTTTTCCACTGGAGAATTTATGCCAAAAATTGCCACTGTCTGTTACTGTTGGAAAGCTTCGAAGTGAAGTTTTTTTGCTTTGCTTATTTACTGCACAACGCGAAGAAAGACGATGCCATTAGAGTTAGGACGCTTCAAAACAGTAACACGTAGCATTTGTGTAGGGAAATTGATTTTAATTGTTATTGTTTAATAAATACAAGCCTCGTGGCCACGTGATCGTAGCATACGTGTAGGGAAATTTATTATAATTTGTATTGGTTAATAAATACAAGTCACGTGACAGGTGGTGAGCTACGTGCACCACGCGCTGGAGCACCGCCAGTCACGTGAGCGCATGACACGCGCGCTCACGAGCCACGTGGACGCGCGTGACGTCGTCAGCAAGAGGCTCATTAGTGAGCAGGAGTACTTCATCCGGCACAACCTCCTGCCAAAGGTGGGTCATGCTGCACAAGGTGGGTCATGCTGCACAAGGTGGGTCATGCTGCACAAGGTGGGTCATGCTGCACAAGGTGGGTCATGCTGCACAAGGTGAGTCATGCTGCACAAGGTGGGNACCTGGTGAGGCCACCCCCTACCCTCACACCCTGCACCTGGTGAGGCCACCCCCTACCCTCACACCCTGCACCTGGTGAGGCCACCCCCTACCCTCACACCCTGCACCTGGTGAGGCCACCCCCTACCCTCACACCCTGCACCTGGTGAGGCCACCCCCTACCCTCACACCCTGCACCTGGTGAGGCCACCCCCTACCCTCACACCCTGCACCTGGTGAGGCCACCCCCTACCCTCACACCCTGCACCTGGTGAGGCCACCCCCTACCCTCACACCCTGCACCTGGTGAGGCCACCCCCTACCCTCACACCCTGCACCTGGTGAGGCCACCCCCTACCCTCACACCCTGCACCTGGTGAGGCCACCCCCTACCCTCACACCCTGCACCTGGTGAGGGCACCCCCTACCCTCATACCCTGCACCTGGTGAGGCCACCTCCTACCCTTACACCCTGCACCTGGTGAGGCCACCCCGGCATCCCCTACCCTCGTATACCATGGACACAATATCTCGTACCCTCTCCTAACTATCATAGTTTGATAAAATATCAAGCAGATGTTTGCTCATGGTAATGAAGCATTTAAGTTCATTGCACCACCAGGAAGCAAAATTTTCGAAATTTCAATTCTGATTTAATTTTTGTGGCTGGAATCAATTTTTCGGTCTAACTTTTGGCTGTAAAAGGCGCCGGCTTCATTCTATCCTACATGCAGTAATACAAAATAAGAGACGATTAATGTCAATAGTTTTGAAATTATAGGCTTGATAATTCTAGCAAATTTGTATTTCGTTATGCTGAATCTCGTCATCCCTGTTGTCTCTTATCCCTTTACAATAATAAAACTTAACAAATATTCATGAAATTAGTTCTTTTTTATGGAGATAAAAGCGACACATCATGCGATGAATAGATGATGATATTGACCATCATTGCCGGTGGTATCGCGCGACTCATTCCTACACATTCATTGATATAGTGGCTATATAAATATAAGCTACATATATACTGTATATCATTTATTCTGTTATTGATGATAGTATAATTGCAGGGCATCGCATGACGCATTCCTACACATTCATTGATTTAGTGGCTAAATATATATAAGCTACATATATACTGTATATCATTTGTTTAATCATTGATAATATTATAATTGCATGTGGTGTCTCATGACGCATTCCTACACATTCATTGATTTAGCGTGTATAAATTTAGTGGCTATATAAATATAAGCTACATGTATACTGTATATCATGTGATCTATCATTTATGGTAATATTATTGCAGGTGGTGTCTCGTGACTCATTTCTACACATTCATTGATATAGCGTTTATAATTGTAGTGGCTATATAAATATAATTTACATATATACTGTATATCATTTACTGTATATCATTTGATCTATCATTGATAATAATATTATTGCAGGTGGTGTCGCGTGACGCATTTCTACACAATCATTGATTTAGCGTCTATAAATGTAGTGCCTATATAAATATAAGCTATATATATATACTGTATATAATTTACTGTTTATCATGTATTCTATCATTGGTAATATACTTGCAGGTGGTGTCTCGTGACGCAGCAGGTGCCCCGGAGCAGCTGGTGCAGCAGGTGGCGAGCAGATCCCAGGCGGGTACCCGCGACCGCCCCAAGCCGCCCTCCATCACAACAGGTCCAAATTATGCGCTATGATGGAGAGCTCATCACCTACAAACCCCAACACAGAGTACTGGGTATGATTCTTGATGCACCTCGCCTACATTGGGGAGCACACATCAACGGTTTGAGGTCTGACATTATCCGCAGGATTGACCTCCTCAAGCACATGGCATCTCCAAACTGGGGCGCATCCAGATCCTTCTTGCGGACTTTCTATTGCGCCTATATCAGAGCAAAACTTGATTATGGCTCCATCTTGTATCAGTCTGCCTCACGTTCACTGCTCACTAAGCTGGATGTACTGCAGAACGCCTGCCTGCGCCTAATCTTGGGGGCACGACGCACAACTCCAATCATATCTCTGCAAGTTGAAGCCCATATACCAGCCTTGTCCTTCCGACGGTATACCCTCGGAGCCCAACTGGCCCTGAGACTGCACTACCGACCAGCAAATGACCTGACCGCTTCACTATTGCAGCTCCCACAGCCAAGAGCAAACTCCGCTCTGTGCATGGCTGTCAGCAATCTTCGCTCTTGTGAACACTTCCGCCGAGTACCTGTGCCTGTGGTGGACCCAGTTCCTCCGTGGGAAACAATGGATAACAACATTAAAGCCAGTATGGATTCAGCCTCAGGAGTGGATGCTATACTACAATTCAATGCTACAATAGGGGAGAATTATCCCGATTTTAATACTATTTACTGCGATGGCTCCCGCTTGCCAGACCTGGAATCCAGCGCTTGCGGTATTTACATCCCATCACAAAATAAAGCAGTCACTTGGCGTCTCCACCCGGCAAGCAGCACCCTGACTACAGAGCTATATGCCATTTACCACTCACTGATCTTAGTTGAAGAGGATCCAAACCCAAATTGGGTCATATGTTCAGATTCACGCTCAGCATTGCTCCTAATACAATCTGCAAGGGGCTTCTACAAGAAGTGCTCTTTGGTTGCTTTAAGTATAAGAGAGATGCTAAGAAAGCTAAACCTTCATAGACAAGTGGTTCTCCAGTGGGTGAAAGCGCACGCTGGGATACGAGGAAATGAGTTGGCAGATCGTGCAGCCAAGTCGGGACACGATCTGGACCACAGCTCCCTACATCCAGTTGAATACTCAGATCATGCACACCGACTCCATAAGAGGCTCATTGCCAGATGGCAGGCTGATTGGCAACAGAGTGTGGCAGACTCTGTGAAGGGTCGACACCTCGCCACAGTGCGAGATGACTTACTTCCTGTTCCATGGCTACACACACGATCTCGACGCCTCTCGGTTGTACTGAAACGCCTGCGAATGGGACACGTAGGCGTGGGTACATATCTACACCGATTCTCCATGTCTCCTTCACCATTGTGTGCTGCTTGCAATGTTGAAGAAACTATCGAACACTACCTGCTTGAGTGCAGCCAATATAGCACGCCAACAACTGAGACAGACCCTGCTGAGCATGGGGATACAGACCCTGACAGTTCGCATACTGCTTGGTGGAGGCGACCACCCAAAATGGAGACAACACCACATCATGAAAGCAGTTGGCACATATCTCACAAGTACAAAGCGGCTGGAGAACCTATGAAACTGAAGATCAACAAAACGCGAGAAGAATCATGTCAGTGGTGGACATGTATGTTGTACAAGAACCAGAAGAAATAAAATAAAGTGAAGAAAACAATCTAGAAACTTCATCAACCTCTGCCATGTCCAGGTGCAACGGCTGGCCTGAAGTGAGGTCATCTCTGCACCTACAACCCGCCACCACCACCCACCACCACCACCACAATCCCGGAGCTCATACACTCTTCTCCATACACTTGACAAAGTTCTTCGTGAATTTCCTTTCGCCGATTTCTTCCTAGCGGCCAGGAAACGAATAACAGACCGCAACTCGCAGCTGGCGGCAGACGCATGAGGAAGCTTCTTCGCTGACGCCTGCTGAGGCAGGTTTTTATAATGAAAATTATCAAGCAGAAAACATTTAGAGTGAATCATTATTGCATCGAAGAAACGTTCAATTTGTGCAGGAATGAGCGACAGAATACAATTAAAATGCAAAGTTATCTATTTGGAGTTATTCAATGTATTCTATTAGAGGAAATTTTAATCAATGCAAAAACTCCGATTTTATATGTTTCTGTTTTGAGTGAAATATGATGTATGAAGGACTGGAAAAAGAGCAAATTGGCGTTTGATGGGAAGGATAAAAGAGGATGGAATAAGTAAACACACGTCCAGTCCTGCCTCACAATGGCTTGAAGTAACATTGGGGCTTGAAAGATTGCAAAAATCAAAAAGGAATCATCAGCATGAGACCATCCTCAGACTCATCAAACATTACGGGAGGAAACATTGCATACTTGAAAGTCAACGTACTGATATGCCAATAGCAAACAACGAGTAACTGGCCACATACACATTTGTGTAGAGGCTGAAAGAAAATGTATCCATTATACCATGTATGGAAGTTGCCTCTTAATGCCCCATGGGAGGCTCCAGACAAACAATCTTTGAAGAATTCAGGCGTAGGCTCTGTTTTCCAGTGATAAAGATTTACAAGACATATAACGATGTTTTATATATAAATGATCTAACTTCAAAAGAGTACTTCACTCCTTCTTACGAAAAACAAAATACCGTGCAGATACTTGACTTATAATAGAGTAATAATCAATGTATTTATCCCTGGAAATCAAATTTTCATGCAATTCCCACGAGAGCTTCACTGGTCACTTGATTTTGCTTGAGCTCAGGATTTTCTGTGCATTTTTCGTTTATTGAGTAAAGGCAAGCATATATTTTATTACCTCACAAGAGCCCTATAACAGAGGTCAAATGTCATGAGCTGATAATCATTAGGCCATGTTTAGCAATCATATCATCATACAATACGTTGCTCAGGCTCAGTGCATGGAATGCCACAACATCAACAATCAACTTCATTTTTGCAAAGGAAGTTGATTGTTGACAAAGAAGGCGATCGTCCGACGTGGCGAAGAAAAGACAATCAATAATCCCGTATTCAGTTCGTCATTCCAGTTATCACGAGATGTCAAAACAAAAATCCTTTAAACTAAAAAGTTCCATATTCAAACCCTCAATGGACATACGTTTCGAAATTATAACAGACAAATTAATACAATCCTTACTGAGACAAAGACCTCCGTTTAGAAACCCGTTTAGAAATAGGAAGAAAGTGTATTTATAATCAATTTGATTTTATACAGGTTGAAATATAAGCCCAATTTGATCCCCTCCTGTTCACGGAAGCGTCATAATTTTTTTATTTACGGACACGTTATATATATTGCGGGGTAAGCGCTCGAATAGTTCATATACACACATAATGTAATACATTGAATGATATGTACAAAGTATCCATACATAATGCATAGTAAATAAAGCTTAGTCATAGCTGTACCTGTTTCTTTACTACAAGTTGGTGCTACGATCTCATCAATAAGAAGACTGCATGTGATGTGAAGAGAATAAATGGAAGCAAATCTTGAATGTTTATAAAAATGCGAAGCTGTGAAAAATATGAAATAACAGGCCGTTCACACGTCACTACTCGGTGACCAAAGAGATAATCTAAAACTTGGATTGGCTGTGGGTCAATTTTGTTGAGTTTACGGTGCAAACATTTTTTTGAGACAGTTGTTATTCGTTGTAGAAAACTGTTTATAGCTCAATCTGTATACGGTTGAACGCAATGGCCGTAATTCAACCATGCTGCATGCCACATTACTATGAACACACATAAGGTGAGAAACCACAGCGCATATAAGAAATTTTAAAATTGGTTTTATGGAAATCAAATGATGATCTCAAGATAATTAATGAGTTAGAATTTATTTTGTGCTAACCTAAAATATACCGACGTCCGACATCGGAACGGCGGCGGTCAACTGTCAAGTAACTCACGTGAAGCCTCATGTCACGCTGAGTAAAATATATAAATTTTGTTCATCAGAACACTTGAGTGTCATGTTCATGAGGCCAAACTGAGTATAATATGCAAGACTCCCGCTATGGACCAAATGGATGATATTGTCGGTTAGTCGAGATAAATTATTTAGTTACCCATGAAATATTTTAAAAATTATAGAAGACAAAAGACGAATAACATTATTATTTTTATCAATAAAATAAGAGATAGGATGAAGTTGTAGATAAACTTTGATCGCATAAAGTTCTTGAACATCGAATTATATACGGAAAAGTGTGATTTTATTCATGTGTTGATAATGTACTGCAAACTAGCAAGCACTTTAAACCGGCAACGGAATGAACTATTAATTAATAGTCAAAAAAGAATATATCCTTTCTAATTTTGCGTGCCGTCGAGGCAAATATTCACACGGGTTCGGGTGACTGAATACCTGAATGTAGATAAGAAGTTCGTCAAGACTTGAACGTTGTTATTGTGATCGCAGACACCCCTCTTATGAGGCGCTGCTGCTCATATGCACATCACTCTTATGAGGCGCTGCTGCTCATATGCACATCACTCTTATGAGGCGCTGCTGCTCATATGCACATCACTCTTATGAGGCGCTGCTGCTCATATGCACATCACTCTTATGAGGCGCTGCTGCTCATATGCACATCACTCTTATGAGGCGCTGCTGCTCNCTCGCCGAATATTTCTTTATATAATATTTTCTTGATCTTTGCACCCAATTGAATGTTAAAAACAATGTATACATTTTAATCAATAACAAAATCTTTGCTTCTCTATTCACGCGCCAAGAAATATAATTTACTTCAGTTTACGCTCCATGTTTTTCGTTTTTTACCATCATTGACCGTTTTCTTTATTGATTTACGAGTATGAATTTTATATTTGAGATTCCCAGCCTAGTCATATAAATTCAAATGAAATGAAAATAGGTGGGCTTTCGCGAATTTTGATAATAATTTGCAATAACACCAGCGTTCCTCATCAATTCAAATTAATTAATTATTGAATTTTCCGTCCCCGTTTCCATTATCTCAACAATATTCAAACTACG